ACATGTATTTCATACATAACAAGAGTTTTTTCGCTTCATCATTTTTTGTTTTGCAATATAAACAAGTGGCACGTATATATACGTACGTATACATATATATATATATATATGTATAAAAGTCATACAACAAGCAATGTAAAAGGTAATAATAAAATATTTGAAAAAAAAAAAGCGTTTGTTGCACTTGCAATCAATTTGCGAGATCCAATCCTCCGCGCGTCGAACACAATAAACGACAAACACAACAACGCGTTTTGCGTTATACGCGTTCCGCCCTTTTCAATTTCGCCGGATATTACGACGAGGCGATCGCATCGCGCTTCGAAAAATGCGATGCACCGTGGGTGCTCGAAAAAGGGAAAGAAGGAACGAATGCATCTACCCCTCTGACGAGCAGTGTCTCGCCGGAATGCATCGCCGCGATTCGCCGACGTCGAAAGTGCATGCATGAGCGAGCAGCACGCCGTCGATTAGATATTCAAGGCAGGAGGGTCGAGGATGAGGGAGTGCAGCAACACACATCCACCCTTCTCCCACGCCACGGCCACCTGCCCACCACCACCGCGCCCAGCCCTCTCGCGCTCGGAAGAGCAGAAAGCCGCCCATATTCTCTCGTATCGAATTCTTGTATGCGTTCATGCAAGAAGGGCGATAAATGGAAAAATTCTTGAATCTCGCAGTCGTAATCCGGACGCCGGTTTTCATAGGTCGGGTTTACGACTTACCCTTCGGCCGTTTCGCCCTTAATACCGCCGCCACCTCCGTCCATTCCCCCTCACCCATACAACAATCTTTTCCCTCGCTTTTCCACGCTCTCTCGTTCCGCTCTCTTTCCCGTTCGACCCTGCCGGACCTTTTTTTATTAACTGCTTAAATTTAATTTTCGCTTCAATGGAGAAAACCTTCTTGCATCCCAGGAGAAATATTATATAAAGCTCATTGAAAAGTCATCCGATAAAGAAGTAACAGTTACCGCTCGTCTTATAAAATATTTTATAATCTTGAAACAAACTGTGTTTTTTTTTTATTTTTTAAACATATTCCACATATTTTTTAATTATATCCTTTGTATAATCTCGTAATAAATAGTTTATCTTTTTTTTTTCCTTATCTCTTTTCCCGTGCTACTAATTTTCTTATCTAATTTAATCTCGAAGTTCTATGCCCACAATAATATGGAAATTATCATTAAGAACAAGAGTCCTAGCGCATCCGCGCGGTCTTCACACATCTGTTCCATTTTTCAGTAGTTTCGTACGTTATATTTTCTGTGTTGTGTTAATTATAAGGAAACTCTACAGTACTACATTTATAACTTTTTGCGCGACTTTACGAACGAAAACAAAAAAAGAAAATGTATGTGTGCATTCGTTTCAAGAAGAAACGCGACGCGGACGAGAGAGAGAGAGAGAGAGTAAGTCACAAGTGAGAGAGCGCGGTACGCACGCCCTTATTGCGTCGGAATTTCATTCCCAGACATAATTGTAATCAGTGAGGTGTAATTCTGGCAATTTGTCGCAGGGATATCTAATTAATTAGGTCCTTTTGCGAAGGCGGATAGAATCAGCGCTGCGAACGCGCGTGCGCGCGGTCTGCCGTCTCCTCGTTAATTATACGCGGGATGGAATTTTTCATCGAAATTATCACGCACCATCCGCCTAGGAAATTAAGATCCGCCGTTGATGCTCGCGACCTGCGCTGCGCGCCGGAACAAACCTCGTTTTTTTCTTCTTCTTTTCTTTTTAGACTCTGTTCCGTCCGCGTCAACAACGTTAAAACTGAAGTGACGCCGCGAGGCGTTTTTCGTGTAAAAATCTGTACGGTCGTGATATTACCACGTCGGAAAATTTCCGTCCCTTCCGTGTGTGTGTGTGTGTGTGTGTGTGTGGAAAGCAGCGCAAAATGGAAACAAATGACAAATCCGTTTTCGCGAATTTCCGACATCAGGGTTTTGCACTTCCACACAGACGGCGAGAGAGCCAATAAGACCGCGGCAATAAAGCGCTCGGTAACAAGCGTTAATAAAACAGTTATGCAGAAATCTAAAGGGCGACCTCTTCGCACGAAGAGAGAGAGAAAAAGAGATAGATAGAGAGAGAGAGAGAGAGAGAAAGAGAGGCGGAGATATTAAAGGCGATTATAAAAGTCGTGGCTGGATATCGTCCACCCGCTTCTCTAATTTAAGGGAGTCGAAAAGGGGAAGGATCTTCGAGAGCCGTTGGACGGCTCGCTCCGCGACGATAGACCCGGGAAGATGAGCAGTATCCGGTGATACCCACTTTATCCGGGAGAAACGACGGTAAGCTACCCCACACAATGGCCGCCGCAGAGAGCCGCTCTCGTCCGTTTCAAAGAGTTCGGATTTCGTTGGTCTCGCTCTTCTCTTTCCCGCGCGGTCGAATGCCGAGAGAAATCCTATATCGTTGAAATCGCGAATTTAAAATGCGTCATCCCCCCTCCCTCCCTCCTGACCGGCGGAATCTTCCCCGTTCTTCGTGAGATAGCGGGGGATGTTCTCGGGGCCGAAATGATCATCAGTTCTCGTGGAGTCGCGCGAGAAAAGGAGAGAGTAGATACGAGTGGAAGAAGAGTCTTTCTATATCGCGACGTTACATATGTATCCGAAGAACGTTCCGTGCGGTAATCGACCGCGAATACGAGATGTAGATATATATATATATATATATATATCTATTCAAACGTATATACCCGCGAAAACTCTAAGAAAGTAGATAATTTTACTATTCATTCGATTTTTAAAGACGACGATTGAACATCAAATAACGTGTTTGAGAAAAAAACAAAGAGCGCGATGAGAATAGAAATTATCAATAGCAATGAAAAAACGATTTTGAAGACAGATACGATTTCGCGCGCAATTCGATTCGGGAGAGCGCGGCGACACAAAGAAAATCATCATCCAACGGGCAGGCAAGAGAGACATTGGCGTGAATTACAACGATCGAGCCGATCGAGTAATCGGAGTAAACATTTGCGAGAAAAGCGCAAATAATTATCAGCGCGAACAAAAAAAAAAAAAAATCCATCGTTTACACACAGTCGAGAAATCATCTTTTCGTTCTCGATCGGATCGTCGGCGTCGTCGGAAAATTTTCTTGACACAATTCACAGTCTATACTCGGAATAAATTGAAGAACAAAGTTTTCCAGGTGCGCAAACACTCAAAGTTTATCTATACCCTCAAATATTGAAACAATCCTCATCCTTCTTAATTCGATTCTCGAGTATTTGCGGCCGTACGTTTCGAGCAAGCTTGATTCGCGCGGCTTGACTGCGGGATGTCCGCGTGTATAAATGTAATTGGACAAAAGTTCTGTTTTAATTAAAAAGAGACGGGGGGGAGGGGAGGGGAGGAGGTCGAACAGTCAGAGACCGAGAGGACAAATCGGTAACGGTCGGTGTTCACGGTGTGAGGGGAGAGAGAGAGAGAGAAAGAGGACAGCACAGAATTACTCCGTATTTCCGTGAGGATTAAACGTCCCGCCTTTTTGTTCCCGTTCAAATGTTCCGGATTTTCAGATCGCGGCGCAGTCTCTCTCTCGAGCTAACTCGAAAAATTCCACGGATTCTTACACGGCGGAGGGGAGCGCGTTTGCGTCCCGCGTTGTAGAGGACGAAGATAACGCGCAAGACAAAGCGGGCGGGGAGTTACGTTACGTGTCGCGCACGCCGACGACGACGACGACAACGACGACGACGACGACGACGACGACGACGACGGAATCTTTTCGGCAAACACGAAACGCCGAAAGGGATTACGCGAAAGAGTTTTCGTTAAAAAGTTCCGGTAACGAAGGATTTACGGCCGAGCGACGCGAAGGTGTAAAAGCGCCACTGGCGAGGAGGGAAGAGAAGGAGGAAGCGCGAGAGGAGGGCGCTTGCAAAAGGAAGAAGACGTTGAAAACAAAACACAGCAAAAGCCCGTGTTTAAATGGGACGGGATTCGCACGTGACCGTGTGTAAACTCGGGGTAGCGCGGCACTGTCGCAGTGCGAAAGTAATTTAAAATCGGGGGGGTTACAAACCACCCTCTCGAGAGTTGTGCGCGCGCTCCCCGCA